AACTGTGCCGAAGGTGATCAGTTTACCTGCTCTCTTTAGAGAATATCCCCCAGATGACCCAGGGGTCCAAAGGAAAGGAGGACACTTATGCCACGAATTCACAGGGACCCAGGGTCACACGCAGGTCTCCTTCAGATGTCACTGCAGTCGACCCCTGAACAGCCACACCCCCGGCAGGACATCTGTTTTTTTTTTTTTCTCTTCAAAAGTAATTTAGAGTTCGAGTACACAATACTGAACTATCAATTATCATCACCATGCTGTACATTAGGTCTCCAGATACAGCTTAGAAATTGAAAGACTATGTCTTTTGTCCAACTCTCCCCTTTTTCCCCTCAACCCAGCCTCTGATAAACTCAACTGCATTCTGTGTTACTGTAGGTTTGATTTTTTTTTTTTATTCCATTTTGTGAGATCATGGAGTACTTGTCTGTGTCTCGTTCATTTCACTTACTATAATGTCCCCAGTTCAAGCCCTATTCCTTTTGTGAAAAATCAACCAAATAAGAAAATAAAAAATAACGAAGAGTGTCCTCCAGTGTCATCCATGTTGTTGCAAATGGGATTTCTTCCTCATGGCTGAGTAATATCCCAATATATCTAAGGATATAGATATAGATTATATAACATAGAATCACACTTTCTTTATTCATCTGTCAATTTGCTTAGTAGATCTCAAGTGTTATCACCCCCCAAAAATAAGTGAAGTGATGGATATATTCATTAACTTGATTGTGGTAATCATTTCACAATGTATATTAAATTATCATGTTGCATACTTTAAATATATGCAAGTTTCATTTGTCAATCAGAGTAAAGCTAGAAAAAACAAACCACAAAAAAAGGCAATTTCGATTTACCTCTAATGAACACTTTAATTGCTGCTGTTTGATTTTTTTTGTTTGCTCTTATTGATGTTTGAGAGAATTATAACTCCTGAGAGCATTTTTAAATATAGATGGGTTTAACTTAATTATGATACAGTATTTCTATTTCATCGGGTCCTCTAGAATGGAAGGAGGTAAATATTGCACTTATATTATTATTTAAACCATAACTGACAGTTTACAAAACCAGGCAGGATATCTGGGGGTGGGGGGGTAGGGAAGACTATGTCAATATATTATTAGAAATCGGTAAAAGTAGCTTAATATTTACCTCAAACTTATTGGTATTATTAGTTTTAACAAAAGGAAAAACCTAAACAACAATAAAAACATCACAGTTAAACCTATCAGTATTTTTATCAGTTCTAAATTCATAGCTTAAGGGGCTTGCAAGTTACAACCATTTGTTTCTTATTTTGTAATTTTCTGAAATTTGTAATTTCAGATTTGTTCATGTATTCAATACTTAAATGTCCTTAGATTTTATTCAGTTAAATTTTTGCCTGGGTGACTCAGCTGGTTAAGCATCTGCCTTCAGCTCAGGTCGTGATCTCAGGGTCCCGGGATGGAGCTGAGCCCAGTGTTGGGCTCCCGGCTCAGCAGGGAGTCACCTTGTCCCTCTCCCTCTACCCCGTCCCCCACTTGTGCTCTCTCTGTCTCAAATGAATAAATAAAAATCTTTTTAAAAAATTCTTTTTTCCCCTTTAAAAAACAATAAAGAGGCAGAGACTCAGTTCTAGACTAGCAGCCTGAGAGGTTCCTCCATCTACTCCCCTGTGAGACTACCCTCACTGGTAAAAAAAAAAAAAAAAAAAAAAA